TCGGTATTTACTGGTTGAACTGAGGCTGGGGAAGGGAATGGATCAGAAAAGTGCACAGGTCAGCCTACCTGGGAGAAAGGAGGGAAAAGGGACCATTTGTGGTCGTCAGTCCTTCCCTTCCATCGGGGCCGGGCTGGGCTGGGGTGGCCTCTGGGGCAGAGCAGGAAGCTGCTCTTCCTTGGCTTTGCCACAAAGATCCCGGGGTCTCACTGGGTGCTCCCCCGTCCCCCACCCCCATTCCCACCCGACCCCTCCACTGTGTCTGCAGCCCCACAGGTGAGAGCGCCTTTTGTCCTGACCAGGAACGCAGGTGGGACTAGGAGGGGAGTAAATTTGGGAGGCAGTGGAAAAGAAAACACTCTGATATTAGGAAACAGATGATGGCTCTGTAACTTTTCTTTCCTTTTTTAAAATTATAAAAGTTATACATTTTTGGGGGGGGAGTCAACAGTTATAAAAGCTTTCTGCCTTCTCCAGTGCTATACCCTAACACCAACCAGTTTTAACAATACTTGGAGAATCCTTATGGAAAAGTTGTATTTTACAAAACTCTCTCCCTCCCTCTACTTCTGTCTCTATGTAAACATACAGACAGACAGGCAGACAAACAGGATTTGATGGCACCATATGATGGAAAAAAATGGTGGTGCCCAAGGACATAAAGTGAGGGATGGATGTGAGGCTGAACTGGAGAGGTTGTTGATATACCAGACTGGGCTCCTGAAAGAAGTGAGGACTGCAAGGATATAAGTGGGGGGCAGGGGTGTTTTCAAATAATAAAATATTTGCATTACAAAATTTTTATTTTTATCGTTTTGCAGTTTCAGAGGTGAAAAAAGCAACAGCAAAGGCCTAGTTTCCTTAACCGAAAAATGGGATCATAACGTACATTCCTCACAGGTTTGTTGTGAGGATAAATGGGGGCTATTTGTTTACGGTGTTTAGCACTTTCACGCGGTGTGCGCTATTATTATTGCTGACGCTGTTGGTTTGGTGGTTGCTGATCNGTGCCTAGCGCCATGCGCTGGGCTTTCACTCGGTGTGCGCTATTATTATTGCTGACGCTGTTGGTTTGGTGGTTGCTGATCTTGCAGTTGTTAGAGTGCCAAGCCCAGTGTCCCGCACAAAATTGACCCTCTGTCCATCTGCAGCCAGTACACGGAAAGAACCTCATGATAGCATCTGTCTTCATTTCAGAAAATTCATTTTTTTTGCCACTGCCCTGTTCCTTCCTTTTTTTTTCTTGGCTGCTTCTAACTGCTTACTTTATGTTGTGTGACCTTGAAGAAAACTTTCTGGTACCTAGTGGACATAAATTCTCAGAGGTGTGTAGCGATGTTGTAGGTAGCCAAGTTTGCTGCCTGTTTTTTTGTTTTTTTTGTGTGTTTTTTTTTTACTTTCTCTCTCTTGCTTGGCCCCAAGCTGTTGGAAATGATTAGGTGAGAACATCTGTGTACTTGCTACCTTTTGCACATACTACCTGAGATCAATTAGAATTGTTTACTTAAGAAAAACGCCTAAAAATCATCAGGGGCGCCCCTGTTCGCAGAGTGCGCTTTAACACCATTGGCCCTGTAGCTCCGCTAGAGACACCCCGGCCTAGCGAGCCTGTCCCCCTGGAATACCCGGGTGTTTCTACTTGTATTTAGAATGGCTGGCTGCAAATGCTTAGCTTTAATATTCTGCATCCCAAATGCTTTTCGTTGTCAGTACAACTAAGCCCGCCTACGCACTCTCTATTCTTGATTTATAAATAGGTTCAGCTGCCTAACAATTAAACACGCTACATTTTGCACATACACATTCCTTAAGGAGACATTTAGACTGTAAGTGGCTTTTTTCTTATGACACTACCTGGAAACCATCTTCCTAACTTTCCACCCCCCGCCTCCCCCCAAGTGGGTATATTTTAAAAGAATGGCAGTGAGACTTTGGGTCTGTAAAGCCCAAGACACCATTTCCAACATGNTCTGGAAACCATCTTCCTAACTTTCCACCCCCCGCCTCCCCCCTGACTGGCAGTGAGACTTTGGGTCTGTAAAGCCCAAGACACCATTTCCAACATGCTCAGGAAATCCAGCACCAGGTTTCTAGCCGATCTTCACAGGGACAGGCCCAGGACCGGCTGATACCTGTCAGCGAAGGTCCGCAGGGCCTGCTTTGCATCATGCGTGGCCACACATGTTTATGGCGGTGTGAGACACCCATGACCAAGACAATAAGACGCCGGAGAAAAGATAGATCAGTGGGGTCTGAGAAGGAAACAGAGATGCAGTATTAGGCATAATTAAGTATTTGATAAGGTGGAAGAAGCAGGCATTACATACCCCGTGGCCCACGGCAGATTGGCTTGGCAACTCGGAAGGGAACATACAGAATAACGGCCTTAGGTTAACCTGTCAGAATTTCCATTCTGGGCAGAACTGGGACTTGACTATTAATACCAAGTATTATGTAACACTCCAGATATTGAATTGCATTTCTTTCTCCATGGAATGCCATAGAGCAAGTGGATTAAATATCATCACTCTGTCGCACACGGAGGAAATGAAGACTTGCCCCTTGGCTTGGACGCTCAGGCTAGTCTCTGCACCCTGACCTCCCTCTGCATGCCTGTCTCCAGCGCTGCTTCACCTGACACCAGGTGTAGGGGGGTGAGCTCTGCTGACGTTAGAGCTCTCAAGGCACAGTTCTAGCCTAGACCTTGGGGCTGACGGGGTGTGACCCAGGCCCCTCCCTTAAGTTCCCAGGCTGTTTTCTCCTGGGATATGCCAGGGGTGAGTCTGGATGGTCTCCCCAGCGCAGCCCAGATGCTCTTTGACAGTAGGCTGTGGCCCAGGGACCTGGAAACAGGAGGGTGTGGACAAGGGAACTGCCTTAGCCGGCAGAGAAAAGGCGGCGCCTCGGGGCGATATATTGGATTTACAGGCCGAAAGGCCGGATGACTCCATGGTTTGTAAGCACTGGGTGTGCAAGAATTCGAGAGGCAACTTGGTTCGTTTCCGCGTTCAGGGAGTCCGGGTCTGTCCCTTTCGCGTAGCCTGGGGCTGAGTCCAAGGCGGAGGAATCCAGTCGGACCGGTGGGGGGCTCCACCGAGCTCAGGCTCCGATTCCCCCGAGGGCCGCCCAGCTGCTGCCCTAAGGCTCCTTGAGGGGTCACCGAGGGCGCTGAAGAGCCGCCCAAGACGTGTCGCCCGCGTCCACGCTCTTGCTCCCCGGCCCCCCAACCTCAGTCTCCGGCTCCGCGGTCCCGGCCTCTCCCTCCCCCAAATCGTAACAGATAGATCTGCAGGCGGGGGCGCGGGTGATGCGAGTTCCTAGAAGCCCGAAGGGGCTGCCCAGGATTTGAAGTTGGGATCCCCTAAGAACCCTCGAGGTTCGAGCTCGCCCCCCCTCTCCATCGCGTTAGGGCCTTGGGGGGGGGTGTTGTGGGCAAGGAGAGTGCCCCCTCACCGTCCCTGTCACCCTGGAGCCCAGTGCCATCCCAGTCTTGCCAATCGCAC